AAAGGCGGGGCATAGAGGAGAAACAATAATGTACAGTATGTGGAAAATAATGTTTTTTGAACCTTAAACCGCATAAACACATTTCATTACACCAAATACACAAAATAATGTTCTTTTTAGCAGCATCATATGACCCCTTTAAAATTAGCAGGAAATTTGTATATATTATTTTTAAGTAAAACTGAATGTACAGAAACTGGATTTGTTATATTGATGTTTAATATGTAAATATGCAGTCATGGAAAATTGAAGAAGAAGAACAAATACAGGACAGTCTTCTTAAAGCTATCTAGGGTTTAATGCCTTTCTCAAGGGCACGATAGCAGACCATGTGTCTCCATCGACATTGTAAGCTATTGATGAAATGTAACAACTAGGATCTTGCACCTCATTTAATGCTTTCTAACCTGGTCTGAGCATTTCCTTTTGTCATATTAGTAGCCCTGCTTAAAAACCCTTAGTTTACCATAACACCATCCCAGTGATATATTTACTAGAAATGCCGTTTTTGCACATTGATTTGTGTTTGTCATCTGCATCTGCACTTTGTTTCTTCTCCGTATGATCTGAATCTATAGTCATAACTAGAAATCAAAGGCAATTATCACCCTACAACTCTCAAATGTCCCCCATCAGCTGAAGAAAGAGGCGCGTTCCATCTACGACAATTTTCTTTCTGAAAGCTCTCTGCATGCGGTTAATATCGACGATACGGCCCAGATGGAAGAGAGCGCATTAGAGACGCCTACACCCGACATGTTCAATAAAGCACAGGGACAGGTACGAGATATGGGTGGGTGGCATGATAGAAATCACATGCCAATACTGTCATGAAATATCATAAATATTACTTTTTCTGGAAATTTAATGAGCAAAAGGGATTGTATATTTAGAAACTATGCTGTAAAGCATCTTTTGGATAATACAATACTTACTTTACAAATAAGTCCCCCCTTTATTTTGCAATTTGGACCAAAAGATCAAAATTTTAACCAAAAGATCACATTATTCATAACAAATGACGTTTCGTTGCAATTGCTTTACTTGAGTTCTGACTATAAATACCCAAAGAAAGTCTCAAATGATTTACTGTAACTGTGGTTTATTCTTTTCCCCTGCTGTAGATCTTCAAGCTGATGAAAATGGACAGCTACACGAGGTTTGTCCGCTCTCCGCTGTACCAGAACTGCATGCTGTCTTGTGTGGAGGGTTGTCCTCTTCCCAACATTGGAACCCCAGAGCCCAAAAGCAAAATGTCCAAAAAGAGTGTAACGCCACCTAGTAACAGAAAGGTAACTCATTTAGAATCTATTCAAGGCATGGAGTTACTTGAGAAATGACTTTGGAATCAGTAAAATTTTTAAAAATGTCAAAAGTCATTCCTGTGACGGGTCTTAGTCTTAACCCTAGTCATATCAAGTCAGACTGTTGACTAAAGGCAGAAGGTTTGCCACTTATTCTGACCAAGATCTGACAGGATGTAAACACGTGAAGTGACCATAACAATTTAAACAAGGTCGAGGTTATACACTAGTTCAGTCTGTCCAAATGTAATAACTGATTATCTCAGACATAATTCTGAAATATACAGTTTTTGCATTTATTTGATTAAAAAAAAAGAAAGTAAAAACTGTAATATTGTAAAATATTTTTACAATTTAAAATAACTGTTTTCTATGCGAATATATAGTAAAATGTAATTTATTTCTGTGATTTTTAAAGCTGAATTTTCAGCATCATTACTCCAGTCTTCAGTGTCACATGATCCATCAGAAATCAGTCTAATATGCTGATTTGCCGCTCAATAAGGGTTTCTTATCAATGTTGAAAACAGCTTAATATTTTTGTGGAATTATAATTTGATTGGTACAGCCTGTTTTACATATCTTGCCAGTAAAATAATAGTGATTAACAACATGAATCACACAAATGTGTACTGCTTAAAGGAACTCTCCACTATTTTTTGAAAATAGGCTTATTTTCCAACTCCCCTAGAGTTAAACAGTTGAGTTGTACTGTTTTCGAATTCATTCAGCCGATCTCCGGGTCTGGTGGTAGCACTTTTAGCTGCAGCTTAGCATAGATCATCGAATCTGATTAGACCGTTAGCATCTTGCTCAAAAATGACCAAAGAGTTTTGATATTTTCTAGGCTGATATGACTAGGAACTATACTCTCATTCCGGCGTAATAATCAAGGAACTTTGCTGCCGTTCCATGGGTGCTGCAGGCGCAATTATATTACGCAGCGCCTTAAAATAGGCTTATTGGAAGTTACCTAGCTGGGGACTATTTTCAGGCGCTGCGTAATATCATTGTTCATATCAATATATGAGCCTATTTTCAAAAATAGTGGAGTGTTCCTTTAAAGTTATTTCATTAGTTGGAAATACTCAATTAAAATGGTTATCAGGAGTGAGCTATTGCAAACTAGTATAAACTTGATCATCATGAAATCTAGTTTACAGGAGGAGTTAATCACATTTGGATCTATATGCCAATTAATCTACATGGAACAGAGACTAAACCCCAAACATGCTATAAAGTAAGCTATAAAATGCTAAATTTGTCTGGATTTAGACTGTACTGAATAGAAAGTTTTTGCATGCAGATCTTGAATCGAGGATCTTGAGTCTTTTTTTTTTTGTCACCTTTGAATAACTAATGAGTAGTTTTGTTCCACTGGTTTGTTGCTTCATAATGTCTATATTGCAAAATATCTGTAGTGCTTTTTTAATGTATCTTCAGTTGAGTTTAGGGTGCAGTAGAAATACTCTATTCTGACACTACTTGCATGTGTAGCGTGAATGCTGTTAATATGGGCTCTGAAATGAATCTGCGTAGGATACAGTGCAAGTATGAGCTGTTTAAAATGGCCTAATTGTGTGAGAAAGTGTTGTCACTCCACCGTGGGAATTTGATGCTGTGTCAGTGAGCTATTAGTCTGTGAACCACAGTGAAAAGTCCTTATACGTGTATAACTGTGTTTTGGAACAGAGTGTTGAGTTGAAAGTGCCCTCATCCGACAGCAAGACCAACAGGAAGAAGAGGTTAGAGAAGAGAGGCTCATGGGGAGGTACCATCTGACTCAGCGCTTCTCTATCTGTGTGCAGCATCTTTGTGGACGTCTCTGCAGTGCATGCCACCGTCTCAAAAAGAGTCGCCCTAATTGTGTGAGAAAGTGTTGTCACTCCACCGTGGGAATTTGATGCTGTGTCAGTGAGCTATTAGTCTGTGAACCACAGTGAAAAGTCCTTATACGTGTATAACTGTGTTTTGGAACAGAGTGTTGAGTTGAAAGTGCCCTCATCCGACAGCAAGACCAACAGGAAGAAGAGGTTAGAGAAGAGAGGCTCATGGGGAGGTACCATCTGACTCAGCGCTTCTCTATCTGTGTGCAGCATCTTTGTGGACGTGTCTGCAGTTCATGCCACCGTCTCAAAAAGAGTCGCTCTCATGAACATGCATATTTCATGTGACTAATGGTTTGAAGTTGCCCATAGTTAAAAGGCTCATGCAATGCATTGCAAACGGTCATAATTTATATACAAATAGTCATTTTCTACTCTGATTTTAGCCACTGATTTGAACACTTCATTTGAAGGGGCGTGTCTGCTGTGAGACTTCAATGGAAACGCCCATTGGCTGATATATTTGCATACGAAATGAGCATCACTATACATGTAGAACCCTTTTACTTTAACAGCCGCCTACTGTAACAGTTTTGATCATAGCATTGTATTTTGATCTACTCGCATCGCATCCAAGGTTGCAACACTGCACTGTAGCCGAACACGGTCATGTCTATATGATAATCGATAATCTCCTTGCTGCAACATAATTACTGCACAAATACTTTAATCCTAACTAGCATAATGCAAACACAATGTAAATAAGAGCAGAGTGTAAATTTTATCATTGATTATAACAGGAGTCTTGGCGAAAATGCAGAAATCAAATCACTGATAGACTCTGCTCGCTGCTCCAGAAATTATAAAGAGAACCATCTTTAATCTTTTTCAGAAGGGTAGAAAATAATTAATGTCTTAAACTAGGGTGTTTTGAGTTCTGAAACATACAGCACACTTTTAAAAACAAAGGTTCTTTATTGGCATCAATGGTTCCATGTGGTATCTTGAACATCCATGGGAACTTTCAAATGCAGGTACTTTATAGTGAAAAAAGGTTCTTTAGATTTTTAAAATGTTCTTCAAAATGGTTCATTTAAGGAACTGTTCACTGAAAGGTTCTTTGGGGAACCAAAAAAGGTTCTTCTATATGGCACCACTGCAAAAAAACCCTTTTGGAGCCTTTATTTTTAAGAGTGTGTGTTTTCATTGCAGATTAACATGTTGAAATATTGAGAACCTTTTGCATCCATGGGAACTTTCAAATGCAGGTACTTTATAGTGAAAAAAGGTTCTTTAGATTTTTAAAATGTTCTTCAAAATGGTTCATTTAAGGAACTGTTCACTGAAAGGTTCTTTGGGGAACCAAAAAAGGTTCTTCTATATGGCACCACTGCAAAAAAAAACCTTTTGGAGCCTTTATTTTTAAGAGTGTGTTTTCATTGCAGATTAACATGTTGAAATATTGAGAACCTTTTGATTGTCCATTTCATGACCCCTTTAATGCCTCTTTGTTTGCATGGTTTTCTTTTGTGTTTTCAACCATTGAACATGAACTGTTCGTAATTACGCTAACAGTATTTATGTTTCTCAGCTGACCAGTCATATCAGCATGTGGTGGTGTCTCGTAAAGAGTCTCAGATCTCCGTGAAGTCTAACAGCAGTCTGGAGTTGGTCTCTGGATTCGGGCGAGCTGAGGTATCTACATCAATCCAAATTAATGTTTTTGCTTTTCATGAAGGGAATGCAAATTTGTGCAAGACCGCAAAAATATAGCACTGTATTCAGTATTATGATGACATGTATTGCTGTAAAAATCATAGGGCTAGTCCTCTTTTAAAAAGCTACTAGCCATCACAGCCTAACAAAAGCATGATTTGCTACTTGCTTTTGCCAGCTGCCCTTGTGGGGAAAACGTACAATTTAGCATACAAGAGTATTTAGTATGGAAATAATATACTTTGCATTTAATTAGCACTTAAATATTGGCTAAATTGATCTCTGATCTCTTCTGGAAGCTGCTTCCAACTGGCGTAATAGCTAAGAGTGGAGTCCATTTGTTTTTGTGGACAAAAGCATGCATACATCTCTGCAAACAAGATAATAGACATGAACTAAAAGTCTCAAAAGTTAGTTTGATTTCATTTCAGCAGTTGCAAGATATGTTAGGATGAAAAATTGAAAGGCATTGAGTTTTTAGTAGTTTTTTCGTTCTTCATTAGGATATTAAGTAAAGATCATGTTCCATGAAAATATTTTGTAAATTTCCTACCGCAAATATATCAAAACTTCAGTTTCGATTAGAAATATGCATTGCTAAGGACTTTATTTGGACACCATAAAGGCGATTTTCTCAATATTTAGATTTTTTTGCTCCCTCAGATTCCAGATTTTCAA